CCCCAAAACCCCAAAACCCCAAAACCCCTTTGTTAAAAGAAAGCATTGATAAATTAATTTAAAATCAAAATGTATAAGCAATATGTCCCAAACAGGAGCAGGCCCCATCGAAACTGTATGCCTTACCACTCATTTTGTAGACTCAAGAAAGAAAATGCTCGAAACTGTGAGCTCTTTCTATAGCAACCAGGAAGTATTTTATCACTTTATTTCTAGCAGATTGTTAAGAAACTGTGTTATACGAACCAAAAGAAAGCTGATAAAAGTAGGAGCTCTCGGTTGAAAAACAGAAATTACTCTAAAACAAAGCCTAATGGGAGGTACATCATATTCCCAACTATAGCGTACATCAAAAGATCCCAAAAATTCCTGTGCGTCAGCTAAGGATGTTGGCTTTTCAGAAAGTTCCCCACGCGGATTTGGAAAAGGTAGTCAACCAGACATATGACCCTAAGAAGGTGTATCAGAACAGTATGGTTTCATTAAAGAGGAATATCCCTGCTGAAACTCCCAGCAAGGGCGGGTTTACCAGCAATAATGTGAAATTGGGTCAGCTGCGGATCAGAAAAATAGAAATTCAGAAAGAAATCCTCCAGTAAGCCCTTCACAGGTTACTCTCTGTAGGAACGGGATGAAGCTACATAACTTATGCAAGAATATTATGACACAAGAAGCTCAAATAGGGCTCAAATCTGAGAAATCAGCAGTGAACTTAACCGATTCTGGCCCAGAATGAGCAATTTGACATCTTGAAATCGTACTTTTTAGTAATCTTTTAGGAGCCAAATGAGCTCACTTCGAGGATGCCCAGGCCAAAGTCGACCAAGGGGTTCCGAAAGAAGTTACCCAACTGTGTAGAGCAAGAGTTGGACCAAGCAAAATAAAAATATCAAAATTCTTAAGAAAAGTATCATGAATACCCGATTTAAGATTGAAAAGCAGAAAGTCAAGGTATTTTGGATCTTAAGTGTAGGCTGGCCCTATGAAAGGTCTCAATAAACTCATCCTCGAAGCCAATAGAGTCCTCGAGATGGCTGACTCTTCTGCTAAAAATCAAGATTTAGGCCCGCTTAACATCCAAATTAAGGGAGAAGAGGCATCTGAGATTGATTTTACAGCACCTTGAAAGCAATATTTTCAGAACAATAATTGAGAATGGGAACCTCAGTTAGAAATCGGTATTTTAGAAGATTGTGGTTCTGATAGATCGTTCGAGCAACCCAAAAAGTTAAAGAGGTTAAAATCAACACAAATTTTTTAATCATAAGTGGTTTGACCTTTCTATATCAGAACATTAACCTATTTTCCAAGAAGAGCTAATTCTATATGCATATGGTAGTTTTCAACGAATTAGTTGTCCTTAGGGGTTTTGGGGTTTTGGGGTTTTGGGGTTTTGGGGTTTTGGGGTTTTGGGG